CAAATGTTCTCTTGAGAGGAGGCTGGAGGTGGTCCCTGTGTAGCCACAAAAGAGAGATGGAGATGCCATGGCTGTTTTACAGCTGCTTCAAAGGCTGCCTAATTCTGGTGCTGACTTAGTGAGGGAAGGTATAGTTCCCTGGCAGCCCTGGCAGAGTTCCCTGCGGGTGCCAGCCCCTATCAGATTGCACATCTGATTTCACATATTGCCTGCTAGGGGCTTGGCCTCAACCTCCTGTCCTCAGAAGACTCTTGCTGAATTCCTGCTCATCAGACAATGCCTCCATGATCTTGCTCACCAGCAGAGTAAACAAAACTGTCTCTTACAGACAGCTTGAGTTGCCTAGAGGAAATAGTACACAGACACTGCAGCGTCACCAGTGTCCTTCAGATCAGGTTTTCTCAGATCCCTCTGCAAGTCAGGAAGGTCTTCTTGGGTCATAGCTATCGATCTTCACCCAGACCAACAGTAAAGTGATCCTTGGGACAGCCAGGCTTGCACTTACCAAGGCCATTAGGAGCAACAGGGAAGGATCTCATGGTAAACAATTCAAAGGCACGCCACATTTTCACAGGCAGCACTAAGGAAAAGGGTGTGGTGTTCACAAAAGCACATAGATAACACCAAGAGATCAAAACTTAAGCTTACAGTCCTGGGAGTGTGGGCTATAACAGGTATAGTTGTTAACTGTCTGGTTTTCCAAGAAATATGGGCACATTAGCAAGAAACAACCCAGGTCCACATGCATGCTGGCAGAACTGCAGAGTTGCAAAGTGATTTTGTATTTCTGCAGGCAGGGGGTTGGACTAGATGATCTTTTGAGGTCACTTCCAACCCCTAACATTCTGTGAATCTGTGAATATTGTTCCCCATCCCCTGTTACTTTTAAAGAGCTCATTCTTACTAGTTCCTGAAGAAGGCAAATGTTAGTATTTCTACTTTTCCAGGTGACTGACAGATCCAAAATGGCTGATGTGCAAAGTTTCAAAGGCATTTAATCACTTCATTGCCTTTGAGGATCTGGGGGTAAATGAAACCTCCTGGATGAAACAAGCGGTCTGCAGCACAGCAGGAATCCCAGGGCTGTTCTAACACCTTCTTCACTTGGCATCCTCCCTCTGAGGGACAAAGCCACAGAGCCCTAAGAACAGAACAAGAAGCTTCTCAAAATCTTCATGGCCACCTCTGAGCACACGATGCAGAACTGGTTATCTTCTTCAAACCATCAGTTATGTCCTATTTCAGGATGACAAGGAAACAGCCTGCTAGGGCCTTCACGAGTGCAGCCAGTACAGAAATAAGGAGTCTCTTGCCTTGCTCCACTGCCCCCACACACGTTTTGCATCCTCTATCACACTTGATTTGGATAGATTTCAGTGAAATACGATGATGAAGAGAGAGCTTAACAAACAGTATGACTCCAGGTAGGCTTTCCCAAGGGAAGGACTTTAATTCCATTCACAGAGACAGGTATTTTGTCTTTCCAACTACAGCTAACTCATAACATAGATAACACTGAAAATTTTTACGTAGACATAAAGCAGGCAGAAATGTGCATGGATGTTAGAGCACAGAACATTTGGATGGGTCCTTTTTCCCTCCTACTAACACTGGTTTGTTTCAGTGACGATGTAAACTGGCTACACAAAACCACACTTCATGTGTCTGTCTCTGCTGTTACCAAAATGAAGACTCCATTAAGGCAACGACTCCTATAGTCAGGTACCCAACAGGTATACACAGTGGATTAAGAACAACGGAGTCACGTTTGTTGTGTAGGTCTCTGTGGGGCTTGATGTGAAAGGAATAGCACAGTGGGTACGATTAATATTTAAAATGCGTGTACTGACCTTCGGCCAGGCAGCAGAGCAAACTGCTAGCTTACTGTTCACCTGCAACAGAAGTCAGGGAGAGAACCTGCTCAACTGTGTAAAAGGAACAGAAAAAGGAATTTTTTAATTCTTGGTTATTTCTATTTATTCTTTTTATCCTCTTGACGTATACTTAAGAGCTATGGAATCACAGCCTAGATGCTTCCAAGAACTGGAACTGCCCCACCTCTACCCTTTTCTCCCTCAAAGCTGCAGATTACTTCTACAAACCACAGCCTGGATTTTAAATGTCACTGCTGACTTTTCTTCTGGGTGTCTTCTAGCCAGAGTGCCTGTAGCAGAAGGAGGTGTATGCTGGAGCCTGTGAGGCTCTGTGGTTAGATGTGTGCTCAAAGGGCTGATCTGCAGCATCAACAACTGGCATATAGGTGGTAAGATTTCTGAACTGATTTGGCAGCTGTTATGTCCTAGCTCACCTAGCTACGAACCCACTTGACTTCTTGTTCCTGAACACAAAACACTGTGCACTACAAGAACTTCACACTGAGCACAGGGTCAACGAGGGGAAAAGAAGGCAGTAGTGAAGGAGCAGAAGACACAATGGATCACATGAGTTGACATGTTCTTCATTATCACGTTTTTATTCCTAAAACATGGTTCCAGAACTGCTATTCTGGCATGTGTAGAGCTTTCCTAAAGTCAGCATCCAGCTAGATGCTCCAGTATCTCATTTGCCTTCACAGATTCAAGACACGGTTCGTAACAAAGCCACCAAATCACAGCAACACCATGGATGATTTAAGCTTAGATGTTCTTTTTCCCATAAACAAAACCAAATGTTTTTTTTGACAGGTTTCCAAATTTGAAGTCCATGGCGCTCCTCTAAAGTGACAGGTATTTTTTTTGTTTAGGGTGGGGTTTTTTTTTGTTTGCTTCTCAGTAACGCTCTCCAAAGGAACAGTAGCATGAAAACTCCCCATAAAGAATTATGGTTTTCCAGTAGTTTCAGGATGTCCCAGTTGCCATTTCCAGGCCTCTCCCCTGGAGTGTAGAAATCACTCCTCTTGGATTGCAGTTTCAACAGACGACTTGGCACTACTGATGTTCAAAGTCCTCAGGATAAAGGCAGCTCTCACGTAGCAGCCACTGTCCTCTGCTGAAAGCCATGGTAGTTCTCTGCTTGACAGATTTAGCTTCTCTGCAGACCCCCAGACAGCTCAGGAGAATCAGCGACGCAGCCTGAGAAAGAATGCGTGCTTGCACTCCTTGCTGTCCAAGGGATAATACTTATCATAAAAATCCAGAATGTATTCTTCACTCTTAAATCCAAACTTCTGGTAGAGCAGCATAGCTGGGTTGCTTGCAGAGACGTGAAGCGTTACATCTTTGCCCATGCAGGTCTGCCAGGGGAGGGGGGGAAACAAAACAGAATAAAAACAAACCTAGAATCACAGCAAGAGAATGAGAGAGCCTCTGGGGCAACGTGGAGGTGAAAAGATTCAGCAGTTCAGGTATTCAAGTGACTGAGGAAATGTGAGAAAATTGCAGGCCTTGACAGAAGTTGCCACACATAGCAACAGATGAAAGAGGCAGGGAACGGCGCTGCTCCTCTGGGCCTTTGTTTCTGGGAAACGTGGACTCTGACAATGAAAGCAGGTTTTGGCTTAGGATTTGTCAGCTTCCCATTGTCAACTGCAAAGTAATGGTTAATAAAAAATAACCTCGATGTACAGTACTGATCTCAATGGTCCAAAGGAAAGACAAAACATGCCAGAGAATTGGGTGCCACGCTTCTCCCCCTCAGCACACAGACCTGAGCTCTCCAGGCCTGCGGGAGCAGCCCCAGCACACCTCTTGGCTGTCGTGTTGAAATTCCTGCCTATCCCACCCAGCTCATCTCCCATCCTTCAGGGCACAGAGCTCCCCTCCTGAGAAGGCAGGAAATTCAGTTCAGACAGCAAACAGTATAGCTGAAGTTACCTTAAAGATCACAGAATGGGTTAGGTTGGAAGGGACCCTAGAGATCATCTAATCCAACCTCCCTGCCATGGGCAGGGATTCCTCTCAACTAGACCAGGTTGCTCAAGGCCTCATCTGACGTGGAACACCTCCAGGGAGGGGGCATCCACAGCCTCTCTGGGCAATCTAGTCCAGAATCTCACCACCCTCATACTGAAGAACTTCTTCCCAAGATCTCGTCTAAAACTACTCTCCTTCAGTTTAAGACCATTCCCCCTTGTCCTGTTGCTGCACACTCTTGTGAAAAGTCTCCCTCCAGCCTTCCTGTACCTTTCCTTCAGGTACTGAGTAAAATTATATAGGCATTTGTGGTGCTGACACTGATAGACAGCTGTGCTCTATGACCATGTCCCAAGAAGAAAGGAGCTTGTTAGAGCACTGGTGGGTACATGGCCCCAAGTCAAACTGAGACTTCCTCACATAATCCTTTCCACTTCGGGAGTCAGATAACCTCACACTTTACACCCTTTAATACACCCTTTAGGAAATTTCCAGGGTATATCATTCAAGAGGAAAGCTCTCAGGGATTTAAGGGGGGAATAAAAGGGAAAAAAAAAAAAAACATAATTCGGAACTATTTTTAGGAAAAAAGTAAGTTGGAATGAGAGCATTAAATATACAGTTTGGTCCTCTGGGCTAGATGTATTACAGGTTCACTACTGACAACAAAGCCATCATCAAGGCAGCAAGTGCATCGACACATTTAGATTATGCTGTTCCCATGAATTCACCTCCACACTCAGCACACTGATCCAAGAAACAGAATTATCCTTGACCCAAACAATGTGAGCCAAAGTGGCTCCAGCTACAGAGAGCAGACCCCAGCGTCAGCTGCAAAGCAGCACATGCAGTCTGGCAGTGGAGGAACAGAAGCTCACAACTGCCATTTTTTCTCCTATGTAACAAAATGCCTTCTACCACTGACAAACAGCCAGCAATGGAGAACTAAATCTAACGTGAGCTGAGCATACAATGATGAGCTTGCATTGCTAGAGAGCCCAATCAGCCTCAACCCTGCCTGCCTCTCTCCAACATGATAATTTTATGCTAGTCTGCCTACAAGCAGAATTAGGTCTGTGATATATCCTACAAAAAGCTGTGATGATTTTCTACAGCTGACTTGCCAACACATCCCAGTCCTGCTGGAGAGACACGAGTCCAGCTGCTGAATCCCTGCAAAGCTTGGTCCTTGGCTTGTGCCCGTTCTCACTAGGTGGTGACATCCCCTGTCAACAGACTACAGCTGAGGGCAATTTACTTAAACACTTTACACAGAGACACTCAGGAAATGTGAAGGGTAATTTTGAAGTAGTTTGGTTACTGGCCTGTATCAACATGTGAGAGCAGAGAGAGGTGGATGCTGCAAAGAGCTGTACAGGTAGAAGAGTTACCCTCAGATGGCCCAGTTGCCCTGTTGCTAAGGTTCTGCCAGCACTCCCTACCTCTCCTCAGCCAGGTGAGCAAGAGGAAAAAGTTCCAATGGTGAGCTTTTCCTAGTGCAGCTCATCTTGACTAAAACAAGTTAAGGAATGTTTCACATCAGCAGCTCTGCCAAGAGAGCTCAGGGAGTGGTAAAATTGTGAGCTCTGAAAAGGGCATCTATCTACATCCCTACTCAAAATGAGGCTGGCTTTCCTGCAATTTAATTCAAGAAACTGAATGGAATGAAAGCCACCTGGATAACAGTATTCATTCAGAGATTTAATGAAGTTTAACTACTTTAGTACCACCTGATTAGTAAGCTCAGATTAATTTCCCTGAATGTCCCTGTGAAACAGAGGCCACTTCAAGGTAGTCTGAACAAATCTGAATGAGGTTGCACACGCTTATGCTTTATCTTATCAACACTAGGCCTGCTGGCAACAGAAGAGATGCACCTGTCTCAGAGGGGAAAAAGGATCCTGGGGCAAGAACTAGCAGGGCTCACTGAAAGAGCTTTAAACTAGATAGGAAGGGGGTATAACTGGGCCTGCTAGATAAGCCCAGGAGAAGCATCCCACAGTTTATGGGAGGGTGTACAAGCAAGGAACCTTGTTCTACCGTCTCAGTGGAGGCAGGGGTGGGAGAAACATGGGGCAGGAAAGATGCAAGGGTTCCTGAGGGTGATGTGATGGCTGGAGGCCATTTAGAGCACAGTGATCACAAATGATGGAGTTCTCTGTTCTTCGAGAAGTGGGGGTGGGGACAGCAGAACTGCCACCTTGGACGACGCAGCAGGGTTAGAGGGACAGGGTGCTAATATGGGCCTTAAACCTGTTGCCCTGAAGCATGCTGGAGATACTGTGGCACATTCAAAGTCTTATGGAGATGAGCCAGGGGCTCCTCAGGTAGTAGGGGCAGACAGGGAAACACCCATGAAACACCCCAAGGGAACTAAAGGGTGTTCTTCTAAAGAGGTGACATGGCTGACAGCCCATCTGAAGTGCCTCTACATGAACACACACAGCATGGGCAACAAACAGGAGGAGCTGGAAGCCAGTATGATGCTGGAGTAGCCATGATGGAAACTTGGTGGGACGAATCCTGTGGCTGGAGTGTGGCTGTCGATGGCTACAAGCAGTTCAGAAGGGACAGGTGAGGAAGGAGGGGCAGAGGTATTGCCCTCTATGTTAAGAATTGGTTAGAGCACAAAGAGATGTCCCTAAAGAATAGCCAAGAGCAAGTTGAGAGCTTATGGGTAGGAATTAAGTTACCCAGACAACAAGGGGAACCTTGTGGTTGGGTGGAATTAAGATACCCAGACAACAAGGGGAACCTTGTGGTTGGGTGTCTACTACAGGCTGCCCAATCCAGGGGAGCCTACTGATGAAGCCTTCTCACTCCAGCTACAGGAGGCATCCAGCTGGCAGGCTCTCATCCTGCTGGGGGATTTCAACCACCCCAACATCTGCTGGAGAACACAGCAAGCTGTAGGACATCCAGAAGACTCCTGGAGTGCCCTGAAGATAAATTCTTAAGCCAGGACATAGACAGCCCTACCTGAGGGGATGCAATCCTGGACTTGATGGTCACCAGTGCAAGCAAGCTCATCAGGGATGTCAAGACTGGAGGCAGCCTGGACTGCAGTGATCATGCACTAGTGGAGTTCACAGTCCTAAGGGATATAAGTCAGACAAGGAGCATAGGCAGGACCCTGCATTTCAGGAAAGCAAAATTCCAGCTCTTCAAGGAGTTAGTCAGTAGGACTCCCTGGGAAACGGTCCTCAGGGACAAGGGAGCAGAACAGAGATGGCAGATCTTTAAGGAGGTTTTCCATAGAGCACAAGAGCTCTCAATCTGCAGGTGCAAGAAATCAAGCAAGGAAGGGAAGAGAAGAGCCCAGCATGGCTGAGTCAAGACCTACTGGCCAAACTAAAAGGCAAGAGGAACTGCACAGGCAGTTCAAACAAGGACAGGTATCTTGGGAAGAGTATTGGGATGCTGCCTGGTTGTGTAGAGGGGAGGTCAGGAAGGCCAAGGCGTGTCTGGAGCTGAACCTGGCAAGGGATGCAAAGAATCACAAGAAAGGCTTCTACAGGTATGTTCACCAGAAAAGGAAGACTAAAGAAAGCGTGTGTCCATCCCTGCCCCAAGATGAGCAAGAATGGCAACCTATTAACAACAGATGAGGGGAAGGGTGATGTTCTTAACAACTTCTTTGCCTCACTGGCAACCTCTCTCCTCACACCTCCTGAGTTGAAGGACCACAAGATGAGGACTGGGGGGACAAAGTCCCTCCCACTGTAAGCGAACACAGGGTTGGTGACCACCTGAGGAACCTGAACATATGTAAGTCTATGGGACCTGATGACACACATCCAAGAGTACTGAGGGAATTGGCTGATGTAGTTGCCAAACCACTCCCCATGATATCTGAAAAGTCCTGACAGTCAGGTGAAGTCCCTGGTGACTGGAAGAAGGGAAACATTACACCTATTTTTAAAAGGGGTGGAAAGGAGGACCCCAGGATCTACTGACCTGTCAGACTCACCTCTGTGCCCAGGAAGATCATGGAACAGGTCCTCCTACAAGCTATACTAAGGCACATGGAGGACAAGGAGGTGATTTGAGATATCCAGAATGGCTTTACTAAGGGCAACTCCTGTCTGACCAGCCTAGTGGCTTTCTACAACAGAGTGATCACATCAGTGGACAAGCAATGGATGTCATCTATCTAGACTCCTGCAAGGCCTCTGACACAGTCCCCCACAACATCCTTCTCTCTAAGTTGGCAAGATATGGATCTGATGCATGGAGTGTTCGGTGGCGAAGGAATTGGTTAGATGGTCTCATCTAGAGGGTAGTGGTCAGTGCCTTGATGTCCAGATGAAGATGGGTGACAAGTGCAGTCCCTCAGGGGTCCGTGCTTGGATCAGTACTGTTTAGTATCTCCATCAGTGGGATGGAGTGCACCCTAGGCAGCTAACACCAAGCTGAGTGGTGAAGCTGACATGCCATAGGGACAGGATGTCATCCAGAGGGACCTGGACAAGCTTGAGAAGTGGGCCCATGTGAACCTCATGAGGTTCAACAAGGCCAAGTGTAAGGTCCTGCATCTGGGTAGGGGCAATCCTCATTATCAATACAGGCTGGGGGATAATGTGATAGAGAGCAGCCCTGCAGAAAAGGACTTGGTGGTACTGGCAGATGAAAAGCTGGACATGAGCTGGCAATGTCTTCTTGCAGCCTAGGAGGCCAGTTGTGTACTGGGCTGCATCAAAACAAGCATGGCCAGCAGATTAAGAGTTGATTCTGCTCCTCTACTCTGGTGAGACCTCACCTGGAGTGCTGTGTCCAGCTCTGGAGCCCTCAGCACAGGAAGGATGTGGACCTGTTGGAAAGGGTGCAGAGGAAGGCCACAAAAATGATCAGCGGGCCAGAGCCCCTCTCCGACAAGGACAGGCTGAGACCTGGGATTGTTCAGCCTGGAGAGGAGAAGGCTCTGGAGAGACCTTCTGGTGGCCTTACAGTACCTGAAGGGGCCTACAGGAGAGCTGGGGAGGGGCTATTTAGAAGGGCATGTAGCAATAGGATGAGGGGCAATGGTTTTAAACTGGAGCAGGGTAGATTTAAATTAGATATTAGGAGGAAGTTCTTTAATATGAGGGGGGTGAAACACTGGAACAGGCTGCCCAGAGAGGTGGTGGAGGCCCCATCCCTGAAGACATTCGAACGGGACTCTGAGCGACCTGGTCTAGTTGGGGGTGTCCCTGCTTACTGCATGGAGGTTGGACTAGGTGACTTTTAAAGTTCCCTTCCAACCCAGAGCATTCTACAATTCTACAATTCTATTATCTTCAACTCATCTGGATTTGAACCAGAGTATTAAAAGTTAAATAGAGCAATTAAGATCAGTAAGTGACTTACAGCAATGGACCTGATAATGGAATAAACCTCCAGGTGTAGCCAAGAATTGCTGCAATAGATTCTGAATAAGTCTCCCCACTATTACCTCATTTTCTCCTTTAAACCCCAAATTTACAGTATTACTGTTATGCGAACTATTGATCCCTAAAGAACACAGTTAATGCCAAGACAGTCTAAGTCTACAACTTCTCACTAATTCTAACAACTGGCCAGTATGGTTTTTCTAAATACATTTTAGTTTCTGCTTTTGAAGTGATTTCCCCCCATAAATGTTCACGTGGCTGCTGACAATCTGTGCAGGTTTGTAAGCAAAGAAGGGGCAAGAGGAAAGAGACAGAGAGGAGGAACACAGCACTGCCTGTTTTCTAAGATTTGCATGTGTGCACACGAGAAAGGAGAGACAGTTCTTTAGCAGAGGTGTGGGATTTTTTTTCCTTACCTGGATAAGATGATAAATCATGAAGGTTGCAATTCCAGCTCTTCTCCACTCAGGGTGGACTAACAGGAAAGAGATGTAAGCTTCGTTGTATTTCACATCTGGCACCATAAAGCCAAAAGCAATGATGACTTTTTTGTAAAGGACGACTACACTGAAGTCTGGGTACTGCAGGCATTCTGACAAATCAATTCCTACAGAGAAAGGGAGAAACAGCAGTTGAAACCAACAGAAGCATTGAAACCAACAGAAAACTGTCACACTTGCACAGAAATTCAAGGGTTTAAGATCTTTTAGAAACAATCACTTGACCCCTTCCTTATATCTTTATTTCAAAGCTCTGATATTGAGAGATGCTTCAGTAAAACACAGACAAAACAAGACCTGCTTTCTTGTAGGGATTCTTGCATGGAGAAACACACAGAGCTGATTTCCTCCCAAATGACTCTAGGATGAAACTAAAACTCAAAAAAACATGTTCTCTAAACCAGGATTGTTTAAAAAAAATAGAACAAAACCACATAATCTCGGCATCTAACTAGTCTTTCCTTGGTCTGTATTCTGAGCCGTATCAGCAGACTCTGCCAAGGACCCAGTTCTAAACATGCCTGTGGATAAAGACACTTGCATGTACAAATGTTTGCTGGATTGGGTCCTAGTAAGCTTGTGCCCCTTGCCCGGGGCTTCCAAGGCCTGCAGTAGTGTTAATTGATAATGGTTTGCATCTTCATTTCACCTGGGCTGGGCCAGAACCAGGTGGGTGTACACCATTCCTACTCCAGTTGGCAAATGCTGAGGACCTGCCTGTAGGCAAGCAGTGGAGGGTGGTTTAGAGTGTATCAGCCTGATACGCTGAGTGAACCATCCCATTCTTCCTGCAAACCCTCTCCAGATGCAGCAGACACGAAACTGGGTTTCAGCTGTGGTAACATTACTTGCCTCAGGCTCCTGTCTCTTTTCTCCCCCTGGCCTTAAGCTCAGGCTGCTTCCTCTTTTGCATGCTCAGCTGTTTGTGAAGCTGCACTGTGAACCTGACCACAACTTTCAATGCTATCAAAACATTTGCTTTTAGCATCCATGCTGCCTAATCTGGTGTGTGAAGCAGCCTCGAGAGGCTGTGACTGTGGTGCTTCTGTGAGTCAAAGGCTGGACAGAAATGCCTGAAGCTGGTAATTTCTGAATGGAATTTGTTAGCTTGCTTAACCACGTTGCTGCTGCAGCCTGAGAGCATCCATCCACACAGCACATTGGGGCCAAGCAGTGCAGTTCAAGGCACAGGAGACTCCTTGGTAATTTTTGTGGACAGGCTCTAAACTGGGTGCAAGACACAGTAGAGCTGTGCCATATATTTTAATCTGACCCTCAAACTGGCAATCACATATACATTTGGAACGTGGGATAACAAAGTAGAATGTGAGTATGTTTTCCAGTAATGTTTATCACTCTTGATGAGATGCAAGACTTCGTAACGCACCAGGCACAAATAAGCGGGTGAATTATTTTCCTGAGTAAACTGGGTGGAGTAAGATGTGGAACAAATTGATGGGCAGTGGGGAGCCCTGAGATGATCTGAAGGCTGCAGCTGACTGAGAAGTGCCTGCCAGCATGTCTGTACAGGAGTGCCAGGCTGCCCTGAGCACGCTGGCAGCCGTGAGTCGGTGCCGTCCCCTCGGCACGCGGTTATCCCTGTAGGAAGGTGCTTGGCTCAGGATGGTTCAGCACTCCTCTGCTCGGGAGATCCTTCCTGTTAGGGCATGAAGGCACAAGACACCCTGACAGACAACAAGGGGGAGTCTTACTTCACATCAGCTCGTATGTGGTAGCTAACTGCAAACTTGTTTCTGCCTTGTAAGAAGCAAGGGATACAACGGGAATGATTTGAAGAGGTGAAAAAACGACGGCCTGGGCTCAAAACTGTGCAGTGCTGAAAACTGAGCACTGCTATTAGAAGGGAACTGAGCATGCCTAAAATGCCGTTTACTGAGGACAGCATCCCCCAAACACAAATGCTTCAGAGACCTAAACTTAGGTGGAATTATATCTGTTTCTCTCAAAAACAATGCTGGCTTAATGATGCTCTCCCCACTGAAAACTTCAGAATCCTGTCAGTCAGAGCACTGCTATTAGATGGGAACTGAGCATGCCTAAAATGCCGTTTACTGAGGACAGCATCCCCCAAACACAAATGCTTCAGAGACCTAAACTTAGGTGGAATTATAGCTGTTTCTCTCAAAAACAATGCTGGCTTAATGATGCTCTCCCCACTGCATAACCCACACGCTCCTCAGTTGTACCAGCTGGTTGTAAATCTAAACCCTTCACAGCCACCTTCAAAGACAGTGTGCTTTATCTCCTGAAGTATTGCCTCCTCACCTCTCCTTCTAAAAAAGAAACAAGTTGCAATAAACCACATAATCCCAGTCTCAAAAAATGTACACCACAAAAGAGATTTTGATTCCTGCTTGGAGACTGCTGGAAGTGTCAGCTCTCTGATTTAAGGATGTACAGTTCACAGTCAGGTGGAACACACCCATGCTACTTAAGTTAAATAAAACAGGGTGAGTCCTGACAAACTTCACAGAGGTGCAACCCAACTTGGCCAGAACTTCAAATGCTTTATCAGAAGAGGACAGACTGTGACAAAAGCGTTCAGCTTTTGTTGTAGTTGCAAGTGTAAGCTCCATAACAGCTTGTGAAAGGGCAGCTATGCCACGTTATCTCCCCGTGCACAGTACAATTTGGACAATGAATAACACAAACAGCTCCAACCCTGACTGCAGCATACAGGCACTGCTGAACTACAAATCCTGTCTGAATCACTCTTTGCGGATCAAAATGTAAAGCAAACAATTACTTGGAATAAGGATCTGTACTGTTTGTATGGGGCTTTTCTAAATTAGTCTGCCATGTTGTTTGCTGCTCAGAAGCTGATCCATGCAGATGAACATCACTATTATTATTTCAGAAGAACTGAAGACTACAGCCTCATAACTGCCCCCATACAGGGCAGCCACTGTCCCCAAAGAGTCTGCAGTTCAAGAGATGATACACAAAAATCAATCCCCAAACCTCCCTATGCTTTGCATATACTGAGGCTTGAAGAAATAATGAACACCACTGTGAAGCCTGCAGTTTGAAATGCAATTCCAAAATTTCACTCCAACATATCCAGCTTATGGCTGCCAGGAAGAAACTTTCTCCTGAAGCTAATGAGCAGTAGATCTCTGTATAGAACTATTTACTTCAGCCCATTTCTATAAAATGTTTCACTGGATGCTTAATTTTAATAAATGATGACTCCTACACTGGTATCAATGGTGTTACCCAAACCAAATAACCTGTTTCAAATGCTGTGCCTAATTAGGGCCTAACTGCCCCATTCTAAATGATCTCAGAAGATAAGGATACCAAACCCATGTCTCCATCTCAAGTGCATTCCTATGGCATCAAATAATGGTTTTCCGAGAACCAAGCCAGACATACTGAAGAAAAATTTAGAAGAATATGTTTTTTTCTGAACAAAACCACTTCCTTCTTATAAAACCAAGCACTGAAGGACTCTTACCAGGCCAGAAGAATTCATGGCACATGGAGTTTATAGTGGGGATGTGATTAGGGCGAACGTAGCAGTAATCAATGGGTGCTTCTGGCTCAGTCTTCCAGTTGAGATCATTCCTGTGTGGATATGCCCGGATTTCTGCCAGTAGCCTGAGTTTTGGGGGCTTTGTCTCATAGTCACGCCTGCCAGTAACAAGAAAAGCAAATACACAAAGCAAGTGAGCAACAAGAACTGCCACTGCAGCTGCATGGGTACTGCCCATGAAATATTTTCTGACATGCACAACTTGGAACAAAAGAGTGGAATCTTCCATTCGTGTGGGAAAATAGCACCCAGCTCAGCAAAAACACTCTTGTACCAGAGCCCAGGGCACTTCCTGGATTCACAGCATGCCAAGCCAGCCTCTCCTTACAGCAGGAGCAAGGAAATCACAGTTTTGACCCAAAAGCATTGTAACTGTAACTTGCATTGCACGATAACTCTGATTCCCTCTCTGCCCTTCCTCCTCTTGGAGATTCCCCTTCCCAGTGCAGAGCCAGCTTAACTCTCAGCTAAATAAAACTCTGTCCTTTCAGGGTCACCATGGTACACTGGGTTGTACTTCAAGTAAGAGTGAGGAACACCGGGCAAGAAAGGTGTCCTCTCTGTGAGCTGCTGGTTCACAAGCAAGTTCACCCTCTGACCAGCTGTACCTGATGTAAGGTTTCAGGACACGGGATGTGTAAGGACTGACGATGCTGTGGTCTGCCAGCAGCTCTTCTGAGCCTACCAGTCGGTACAGAAACTTCGTTGTCTGCTGTCGATAGCCCTTCATGGCAGGCAGCATGGTCTAGAGGTACAAAAAAGTGCAGAACGTGTCAGGAAGATCAGTCAGTAGCAACACAGGGGAATCTACAGAGGAATAAGGGCTTTTCAAATGTGACAGGATGGACCAGACCTGACAGGATGACAATCCCACCTCATAGGACACTGCTGTCAACTCTCGGATTTAGTGCCCAAACCTACAAGCCACACATAATTCAGAAAAGCACTGCAAGTGATCTCTCTCCTACATAGCATAGCAGAAGAGCAACCTCTTTGGGTACTTCCAGGCCTCCTGATGTGTTTGGGCATGGTTGGAGTATCACTAAATCATAGAATGGCTTAGGCTGGAAGGGACCTGAGAGATCATCTAATCCAACCTCCCTGCCATGGGCAGGGATTCCTCTCAACTAGACCAGGTTGCTCAAGGCCTCATCCAACCTGGCCTTAAACACCTCCAGGGAGGGGGCATCCACAGCCTCTCTGGGCAATCTAGTCCAGAATCTCACCACCCTCATACTGAAGTTCTTCCCAAGATCTCGTCTAAAACTACTCTCCTTCAGTTTAAAACCATTCCCCCTTGTCCTGTTGCTGCACACTCTTGTGAAAAGTCTCCCTCCAGCCTTCCTGTACCTTTCCTTCAGGTACTGAGTAAAATTATATAGGCATTTGTGGTGCTGACACTGATAGACAGCTGTGCTCTATGACCATGTCCCAAGAAGAAAGGAGCTTGTTAGAGCACTGGTGGGTACATGGCCCCAAGTCAAACTGAGACTTTCTCACATAATCCTTTCCACCTTGGGAGTCAGATAACCCCAAAGTGACACCACTGCCTGCAGCAAAAGCTCTAAAATAACCAATGCCAAAAGCTCACTTACATTTGGAAATACTCACCTGGTATCTGTCCAAGATTCGGAAGTCCTGGCTAGTAGTTCTGTATGTTGCTTGCCCTACTGGGGACCTGGAAACACTTCCTTCTTTGGCTCCATAAATCCCATCAACCAAGAGCAGTGCAGCATTCACAACCTGGTCCAAATCAAAGAGTGGCAGTCCCCTTTCCCTCTTGGCCTGCCTGACTATCAGCTTTCGCCTCAGCCTGCGGGCCTCTGGGGTCATGCTCATTGCATTGGGACAGGCTTCCAATCTCTTCAGCAGCAGCTTTTCCTCATAGATGCTGACAGAGGTATGCTTGGGAGCTCTGGGTTTAACATCCTTCTCCAGCTGTGGCTTCCTCTTGTCTCGCCCCCTCATGGGCAGCGATGCATTGGACTCTTCAGGATCTTCACTGTCACCTTCCATCCTTTCTGTTTTTTCTTCTTCACTCTCCACCTCTTGCTTGATCTGCTCAGCTGTCTTCACTTTTTTTCTACTTGCTATCACAGTGCCAGCACCAGCTGTCCCACTGGGAGGGGGCACATACTCTATTCCTGGGTCTATGACTCCATCTCCTTCCAACTCCTCATCATCTGTTCAAGAGATCAAAATAATGCAGGAAAAAAAAATGCAAACATCAAAGCCTCATTTCAAGAAAGACTGTCACAGGACTTTTCTGCTAAGGAGAAATAAGGTGGGTTTATAAAGTACATTTTCTATATACTTCTGGACCTCATGATTTTGGACAAGAGACACCATAAGAAGTCCAAATTCAGGACACACAACCAATCCTGCTCCTAAGGTGTTCTTGCAGTTTTGCAGCTGAAAACGTAGCACTCCTGAGCTTCAACCTCATGGTCTTTGACAAATACATTGGTGAAAATTCCTGAAGACTGGGGATCAAATGGTGAAGCTGGTGAGCTGTATCTTCAGATAGCATAGTCTGAAGAAGTTCTGTTTAATCTGAGGGAACAATTAGGAGTTACAGAAGCACAGGATTTGTGCCCCTGCAGAACTGAACTGCAGAATTGCTTTATTCCCTACTTTACCAATTCGACTGAGGTCTGGCTCCTTAGGGAACTAAGAGCATTCAGCCTGCATCACTGCTTTGCTACCTCACCAAAATCTGGAATCTGTTAATCAGGATGTTCAGCTGATAAAACTACTGGAACATTACCATGAGAATAACATCGCTCTCACTTTAAAACATTTGAAAGAAAATTAGAGTTGCTATCTTACAGTGTAATCTGTGTTGCAGTGAAATGTCTACGCTGAGTGGTGCAGGAGTTGCTAGGTGAAATCTTCTACCTGGTGTTTATTCAGGATCCCTCAGAAGACAATAATGGTGGTTTCTTCAGGCCTTAGAAGCAGACAATAAAACTATGGAAAACTAAACAAGACTTACACATAACTAAGACAAAGAGAATATTACCCATTACTTTCCATCTTGTCCTGAAAAGATTCTGCAGCTCATTGAGACTTTCCTTTTTTTCTCAACATCCTCTTAGAGCACTACATGTAGCTCATTATTAAACAAAACCCCTGGCATCTCTTACCATGAAACAGAGCCTGTGGTGGCATGACATCTGGGATGAGATCTGCTTCTGAGAGAAGGCTGGGAGTAGCTGAATGCGAGGCTGGAGTGCCAGGGGCAGAGAAGTCCAGAGATGGAGAAGGGGAAGGGCTTGTCAGGGGAGTGCGGTCTGAAGAACTCAAGGAGGAGAAGTCAATCACCTCTCCTTTCTCAAGGACAATATCGGGACGTCGGCCTCGACTCGTGAATTTGACGGGCGTGGAGGAAGTGCTGCGGTCCAGGAAGCTGGCTGCCTCCTTCTGGGCTCTGCGGATCTCCTTGGCTTCTTGGGTGCGAGACCTCTTCTCCTTCAGCTCCATGGCGGACTCGACCGGATTGCGGCTCACCCTCTTCCTGAGACCTTCCACCGTAATGATGGGATCCAGAGGTGGCTTCGAAGCTGCTGAGGAAGTAGTCTGCTTACAGACACGCTGGACACATACTATGCAATCAGGACATACGGACTACATATCTTAGAAGGTGTATTTTCAACATGTACAAGAAATTCACTCTGGGACATGTAGCATAACGACAGTGCACAATAAAGCATCATTAAAGCCCAAATCTTGCTCCTTTGCACAGAAGGGAGTCTGCATCTAGTGACAAAATATAAAAAACTCGCCCTGGGGTAAAGAGGAGCAGAGAAACTGCAACTGAAAAAAAAACCCTGCAAAAACCTCAAAAGCTTGTAAATCAGTCAGCACAGTGCAAAAGGGTAGTAAAATGTAACAAGCTTCTCACACTACAGTATATGCACCACAGACCTCTGAAGTCAATCACTACAGTGGAGCAAAACTAAGAAACTGTCCAAGCACACAAACACATAACTTTAAGCAAACTTTTCCCATGTCTTCCAGCTCAGTCAGCTCTGGGCCACCTAGAAAACTACACACCACCAGGGAGAGTTACCTTTTGCCTTTAGTGCAGACGCAGACAGCTTTTCTCCTTCAGGTTTCATTGTTGGGGGTTTATTATGAACCAGTTTCCACCACCCCGGTTCTCCAAATTCCTGTGCCCCTGAGCGGAAGAACAAGGGGCTCCCCACAGAGAGACAGCCAGCGACTGTGCTCCACCATGTTGAGGTCTTTTTCCTATGGAAGGAAAGGAGAAAACAACCATTTGCTCCCCACTTGCCAACTGTGCTTTCATCCTGAAGCCTCCTCCCTCTGCCAAGATGGAAAGAGCAAAGTGCTTCAGGCACTGATGCAGGGGGATGATGTGCTTCCTACACCCCCATCCTCAAAGAGGCTAAAGATTAATTCATTTCTTCTCAGAGAACCACTCTGAAGGGCAAGCCACAATGTACTGGTGGGGTCTGATGCAAAGCACCACGCAAACGCAGATAGCAAGATGCCTTACACTGAGCCTACAGAGGAGAGGTTCACCCTGCCACTGGAACCCCAGATTTCAAATGCTGACATTGCTACAGTGTGACAGTACAAGGATGGGAGCAGGTTCTCAGTGAGAGCTGTGCTGCTGTAGCTGACACTGCATATTCCATTGCTGAAGGTAACAAAGAGGACTCTAGGTGTACAGGATGGGAGAGGCCAGGGAAAGGCAGTCACAAAGGTGATGCTTCACACAAAAGGAAAGACAAACAATTTAAATGCCTGCTTTGACAGCAAGATTTAATTTAGCAAAGCACAATCCCAGAGCTGTAGGACAGGATCCCTAAGGCTTAATTCACAAAGGAGGCTAGGATCCATTCACTCCGACCTCCACGGCTGCAGCCTTGTCAGGCACAAGAGAGAAGCACAGTTAGGGGTCTGATAAATAAATCCTCTAGGACAACAGAGCTGCAGCAAGGTAACAGAGTGTGTATGCTTACCACACAGACATACTGCATGCAATCTATACTGGAGCCCAACCTCTGCTTGGGTCTTCTGCTGTAAAACCTCTTGCAGCATGGGGAAAAGGATCTCTGCTACTCAACGTACCAGTAAGTCACACTGACTGAATTATTTTTGTAGCAGTTTTGGTCACTTGGAAGCAGGGAGCTGCATTTAAGCCTCTCACTCTCGAAGTCAGTGAAGTACTGAGCATCTCAGCACTTTTTATTCCTCTAAGAACTGGTGACAGGGCTAATTAAAATGCCATTTAGGGAAGAAGTTAGAAGAAATATTTTAAAATAGCCCCTGTAGTCAATAACTGAGGTTTTTTCTCCCTTTGCTACAGGAGAATCAGGTTCATTGTGTAGAGTGTAACCCTGTATTTGCACAGGATCTCAGGATTCCTTCTTGTCTTTGCACACCTCTGCTAGCAAAAACTTCAGTAGGCTGCACTTGGCCAAGCAGGTATTGACTCCTGTCTCAGTGTTGCAACTACACACCTTGGGTACTGAGTCTCAAATGTGGGGAATTCAACTCAGGTGCCCCAGATCAGCCTTTAGTGTTACAGTAATTCTGGAGCAGCTGTACTTCAATATGCCAAGGAAGTAAAGCATTGCATGCCTTGAATCTCTACACACAGGGATCAGCTGTCCCTGCTCCACCAGTGGCTTGTTCAGACAAGTGGGTAAACTGTCTGAGGCCAGCAATCACTTCATCTGAATTTTAATCAGAGCAAGGAGTGTCCCGTTACTAGGGCAAGTCTCAAAAGGCAGCAGCAAACCAAGGAACAATGGGCCATCAGCTGCCTTCCTGTCAGGTTCTATGTGGTTTCCACAGGTAGCAAATACCAACATTTCTGAGAACAGAGCAAGGAGGCACAGACGAGCAACGAAAGCAAAGCCGAAGAGCAAATCTGGCTAGGAAAAACAGATCTTACAAAATCAGATCTTACAAAAAAGAAAAGAAGCTGTGAAGTCACATCAAAAATCAGCTTTGAAGGCTTGCTGAGTTCCCTTCCTGCCTCTGTGGCACGTGCGTGAACAGTGAGATGTTGGTTTGACAGCTTCAGTGTGCTCAGAAAGAACACGCCGTTCACCTGTACGCTACACACCTCATCCTGCCACGAAGGCTGCCCGTTGCCAGAAGGTTCTTACTCTGACAGCTTCTTTCTTTAAACACACTGAAAAACATTTCAGTGGTTTGTAATGCCTACTGTGTAAATGCTATGTTGTTAAGATCCAACACAATCTAAAAGATGAAGCCTAATCTTCTTTTTTGGAGAAGTTGTTCCGTGCAAGCTTTACAGCCAGCTAATATGGTACTTTGCCAGACTTTTTTTTTTTTTTAAAGCCCAGTGACATCAGGACTAGTCCATTTGTTGTGACTATTTAAAAGATTCAAAGGTTTTGCAGGTTCATAGGCTACCTAAAGGAAGAAAAGAAATAATCCCAAATATAGGCATTTACATTGCTTTTTTTGTGACATTTTTGTTGTTTTTTCCTCACTAAGAAATTCTTTCTCAAGGCTACCCATGATGCCTACATTCAGGTTCTCAACATCAAATACTCCAGTTTTCTCACTAGTGAGGCTCAACAGAGACATCACCAAATTAACCAAGATTCTTGTCCATCTGTGTAAACAGGTTTTAATTCCTTCAATTCACCAGCCAGATTTTCAGGGAAACATCACATCTTTACCTGCTCCCTAGTAAGAAAGTCCAGTGTTTCTCAATAAAAGCACAAATATCTTCTTTCCATCTGAAGTACCCTTGACGGCCCGTTCCTTCCAGAGACAAATTGTACATTGCCAGCATGACAACCTGAAACAGAATGTGTTGGACACAAGTGAATCTTTTCTGCTTCATCTGCAGCCACCACACACAGATAAATCTTTTCTCCCTCCTGGATATCTGATTTTGCAACATCTCATAGGCAACTTCTGCAATCCATCTTGTTCCTACTTCCATGCTGCCCGTTCTTGCCCTTCTATTATTTGATGCATATTCTCCTAGAGACTTCTCCATCCCAGAGGAATAACAAGCTGCCTAGTTATGCAGATTTATGCTGAGATACAAGCTTTTGCAGCAGCTGTATAAATGAATTGTATCACAACTGGGGTCTCAATGTAGCGTGGAGGTAAGGAAAAAGTCTTTCCAAAAAATTGGTTACAGATAATCCCGCTATCTAATCCATCACAAACACAGTGATAACAGTCTTTCTAGATACTTGTGGTTACATCTCAAACTGAACAGACTGTAAATTCTCCATAAAATTACATACCTACTAATTGTTCTGGGTATGTAAGAATTAAGTTTGTCTCCAGCTGATCTTAATCAAACACAACCCACTTACAGCTCATTCACATGCAACACAACCAAATTCAGTCTGACATGTTACATACCTACACTATAAGGCAGGTTTCAAAAACATCACACCTCTTTGTAAGTAAATCCTAGGTGAATGACTGTTAATTACATTTACCCAATTAATTTGAATACAGCTAAAATCAGCCAGGCTGGGATCATCTTTCAACAATCACACAGCCTCCATGGGATACTAATTCAAATACAGACATTCTTCACTGTCAGGAAAGTGTGAAATGTGTTCTTCTTAGAGAGATGGGTCTCCTCACAGTAGGCCACAGCTTTCTGGAATGCATTGCTGAGGATACCAAAATAAGGAAAGCTTTAATGTCCTCTATACCCTATTTCTGCGTCGCAACCCCTCCTAGTTTGATAACTATTCATCTAGGATTTTGTGGTTTTTAAGTCAGGTGGGACAGGGTCTCAGGACTTTAACTCAACTGGCTAAAGGTAAGAATCTGTTGAGGCCACAAACTCTGAAAAAAAATCCAGAAATCATTGTACGCATTTTTTTCTACTTCAGGTGAATTGATTTGACCACTTCCTTCAATTCAACTTATACCAGAAACAGCAGCAGCAGCTCTGGCTGCTGGAAGCCTAGGGAGATCTTCTCTTCACTAGTAATTTTTCTCCCTCACCAGTTTTGATTTTGTCTGTCCCCTCCCTGTGCCACTCTGAAGAGACTTGGGTATAATGCTAGCAGCCTTTGCTCTGCAGATCTGTAACTTGCTGAGACTGCTGGCCTGCCAGCCACAGACTACTATGGCAACCTTTGCCCCTTGCACTGCCCTGCAACGGGCACCACGGGAAAACACTACAGGAGTCACAACTGGTGTTTTAAATTATCTGTTAGGAGACAACACGACATTACTGTCCCAAAAGATGCAAACAGATGTCTTGCACGTACTGCCCAGTGGTCAGCATGTGGAAACGATGCTGAGAAACAGCTACTGCCTGATCAAATAATTTTATGCAGCAATTTATCATTTTCAGACAGCACTGCCTGCCTGTCCCTCCAGCACCCTGCTTAGAGCAAGATGATGTGCATCAGTCTACCTACACAGTGGCTGATGTATAGTGGAAATTATTTTGATTGCTTAGGTGTGCAAGTGACTGAAATAGCAAACTCCAGCAGACTGTTTCTTGTGAGTAAGCAGCTAGTTTGGAGTTCTGCATTCAGGGAGCTGGCAAGCTCTCTGTTTCTATGTTGCCAGCTCACTATTTTACATTTACTCATATACACAAAAACTGTTCATGCCTAGCAGCCAAACTGCATTCATTTTGCTTTTCCAAACATGCTTTAAGCCACGAATTTGTAAGCAACATAAGGGGAAGAAAAAAAAAAAGGAAAACAAGTGGTTTGTATGATTACCTTTCAACTTACCTGTCAAATGCCCAAGTTCTAATATGCAGGCAATCTTTAGCTAATTAATTTCTGAATTTCATGCATATGTTTCTTTGTTACCTATACCTGCTCATCCTTTCTAGGTAGCACTCACGCAATGAACAACAATTTTAGAAGGTCCTGTGGGTTGTTCTGTGGGCACAAACATTACACTTACTTGTTGCCATGTTAATCTCAGCCGCTCAAATTGCTCCTTCCCATCTTCTGAGCAATCAGAGCACGTAAATCGGAAAAAGTTATCTCCTTTGAGGTAGCTGAGCTGTTCTCTCAGTTGACCTAAAATGAACAGGCGAAAAAAAATCAATTTCTTAGTCCTTTTGTAGGAAAAAAGTGCTCCAAAGGAGATTTGGATTTTCTACATCAGGCAGAAAAGTACTTTTTGCTTTTTCCCAGAGTCCAGAGATCCAGACAGTTTCCAGAAAGCATCAGAACTCCCTCCAATGGAAGGCACAGATGCATTTCACAGTTAAAGCAGTCAGCAGTGACCAACTGAAAAGCACAGACACAAAAAAAGGGGTGTTCTGCTTCACATCTGAATGCAGGTACAAAGCCAAGGATTTCCTTGTTTCCTCTGCATTTCTCATTCCCTCCTGCTACCCCAGGATAAGCGACGTACTTCCCTAAATAAATTTTCCTACTCTACTTAAAAAAAAAAAAATCTGACCTCTTAAAATATACTACTGCAAAGGCTATCAGAATATACAAGAATTCTCTTCCATGTCATCTTTCCACTGACTGCTACATGTCTTCA